CCACCGCCCATCATCAGGGACATTCTTGGTAAACAGCCAAAACCCTTCAGTAAGTGTGTTCTATTTGAACTTAAAAATGATTTGGCATCTTGGTGAATAAACTAACTGTTGGATTTCTGGACTGATTTGATTCCGAATTCTAAAATTAAAATAAAAAAAGGATGATTTGTCGGCTAAAATTTAAATAAAAGTTTTGAATCAAACGTTAAAATTTTTTATTGGCTAATTTTAGAAAAGACATTTATTATCTAAAGATGGCACATTTCCTCTTTTAATACTTCAAAACTGACAATCCAAAGAAAAGCTAACGGGATGATTTTTAGCTATATATTTTTTTCTACTTTAGCACTCACAGCTGTTTCCGCTCCTTATTGAGAAGAGGAGGCTAGGATGCGAAGTCTCAAAGACCACCTAGAAGAAAGTATTTTCTTCACAGTTATTTTAACTTGAGATGCCAGATTGTTTTACTAACAAGAGGCACCTGTCTGGTGTTGGCAACATTTTGCAGTCTGTCACCAACAACTAGCTTGGGAAAAAGCCAAATCTATCCTCGTGGAGCTTACAACAGATTTTACTTCCTGCAGGTACAGGTTGGTCACTGACAACAACTTGGTTGGAAAGCAAAAAAAAATATTCATGATTAAAATAAATGAGAAATAAACAACTTTTTTGTCTTAGATTTTGTCTCTTATTAATAAACGGATAGAACTGAGATATGAATAATTCTATCATTATTCTTTTTTCCTATTTTCCCAGGGCCCAAAGGTTTATGCTAATCCATAGCATTCATCCAGCACCGCCGTGTTTGAATTCATCTCCACTAGTCTGGCCTGTGCCCCTCAGATAATATCATCCAACCACATATGAACCAAACGAAATGAGAAAGTGTATTAAAAATGGCCGATAAGCAGACAGGAAATAAGTCTAGAGAGTCCAATGGAAGAGAAAGTTCTCCACATTGTCTCGCTCACTCGTTTTTAGCCCATCTGGTTTATGATACTGCTGCAATAACACAATATTTTCACATTCTTACAGAGACAATAAAATGAAAATGGAATGAGGAACTCAGCAGTTTAAAGTTGAAAAAATATAGTGAGGAAGTAAAAGAAACGATGATACAAGACCCGGAAATTGTGGCGTAAGAGCTTTTGCACATTCAGCATTATCATGTTTAAATAGTCAGTATCTGAATCCAAAGGGGAGCTTTTTGTGATATCAAAAGTAGTTGCTTTTTTATTTTTTATTTTATTTTTTTTGAGGTCGTTGAATATTTTTTATCACCTGAAACTTGAAGAAAGAAATTATGTCTGAAGCATCACTGGCAACCTTCTACTTCCATTAAGATTACTGGCCTTGTCTGGAGATCCGCCTTTAAAAGTGTGAATTTTGGATTATATTCCTGTCAGGGCGTCTTTTCTTATTCAATATTCAGATACAAGAAAAAAAATCATAGGTCTCTTATAAATAAAACAGTCGGGTCTCTGTATTCTTTGTGATGCGTGCCACCAGGGATTTCCATTCCTCTGCTTTGAGCCCTGATAAAGTGTCTGAATTCTGATGGATGTTTTTTTTTTTTCAGGTTTTTTTTTTTCCTTCTTGGCTTTAGGTAAACATTGTTTACTACCACATCCCAAGTTCTTGTTTTTAAAAGATGGCAGAGCATTTTGTTCCATCTGGCCCTTATGTCAAACATGCCAGAGTCAATGTTTGATCTCTGTGGCCTGTCATGCCAGACGCTCTTCGTTTCTGTGAGTAGTCAGAAGGTAGACAGGCGTCCTTTCTTCTCACGCAGCTCCAAAAGACACATTTTAAAAAAGCAAACAGCCAACTTGAAAATCCTGTTGACTGCAGCGCAATGAAAAATCTTTAGAAATGTGAATAATTGCAGTCAAAGACGCTACAACCCTGGGTTGACTTGTTTGATCTGGGAAGTAGCTGATGTGTGCGCCAACAGTCAAACGAACTGCTCAGGTGTCCTTGAGGGGGAAAGCGGAGCTGCAGCGAGTTTATGCTTACGATGCACAAACCCTGTAAAGCAAATGTACTTTGCAAATGCAAAGTAGAGCACATTGTAAGGTTTTGGCACAATAGTCCTACTTATCTTTATTGCCCTCTGAAAAGACCTCTATAAATTATAATTTCTCGTCGGTTTTTTATTTTTTAATAGTGACTATTGTGACTCTTTACCTTGAAGTGCGAATATAAATAGTTGCATTCTTTTTTTTTTTGTCTTTTTTGTCACATTCTGTGGATGTCTTTGTGTGTACCCACTACCCAGGCGTTTGTACATGTAAATAAATACCAGCGTGTCTTTCTTCCTAACAGGGTCATTTATCTTTGTGTACCACAATACTGCACACGGTCGATATGTAATTAAGTCACTCTGGTTCCTCCATTGATAGCATGTCTTTATTTTGCAGGCCACTGTGGGAAAACATTTGCAATCCTGCAAAGATTTCTAAGCAGCGCCGTCCCGAACACCAAGTGGCTTGTTATTGTGGATGATGACACACTTATCAGGTATGACGCGATGATGTCAAAAGAATATTTGACTTCATCATAGCTTTTTTTAAACACAGCGCTTGCCGGCTCAGATGTCTTTCATGTATCCCAAAATTTGACTGACATTCATAACTTTCCCATTTTAGCTTTGAAGATACTTGCGCAGTGGCAGAGTGTAAAAGTTGAACGCGAAGAAGTCACTTCGGGAGAATAAACTCCGGAGAGATTAACATTCTGTGGGCCGTCTAAAAGGCTCAGAATTTGAATGAACATCCAGCTGGCTTTACTTTCAGTCAGGCCGCCCCTTTATGTGGAATCCTTTGGATAGTGCCAGAGGGAGAGCAGTTCCAGCCTCTAAATGGACATTTTCATAGCCATTTAATCACACTCATTTGTCTATGATGTGTGTGATACCTTTGCCTTTTTGCAGCCTCCCACGACTCCGAGTCTTGCTGAGCTGTTATGACCCCTCTGAGCCGGTGTGTCTCGGAGAAAGATACGGCTACGGCCTGAGCCAAGGTGGCTACAGTTACATCACCGGAGGCGGAGGGTGAGTTTTACAGCTCAACTGCTTTAAGATGATGAAAATAAGGAGGCAATGGATTAATAAAAGTCTGTGTGATGAAAACCGTAATCTTTAATCTAATTATAAACCTTTTTTGTTTAATTTAGAAGTGTGTTTTAAGGAATATTTGGTTTGCAGATGATCCATTATAAAAAGGACAAGCTATTTGTCAATTAAAGAAATTACAACCTTTTCCTATTAGCTACTTTGATGTCACAATAGCCTCTTTCACAAGACAGGACCATGAAATCGCCACACAGACTAGTCCAGGCTTTAAGTTCCCTCTGTTCATTCATAAATCACAGGAGAAGTCGGCCAGTTCCTGCTCCAATACGCGTTCAGAAATGAACCCAGCAGAGTGGAACCAAAAGAGGCGTGAAACAGATCTCAGCTCGACTTGAGTGGCAACGTATTTATTGTGTGACCAAATCGTATCAAAAAAATAATACTACAGAATTAAGTCATTTTAACAATCCTGGGGTTCAGTATTTTTTTAACGAAACAGTTGCTGTACTGTGTTGTCTTTAGTACTCCCTCAGTAATAAATCTGTTGATTAATTCTGCGGTCACTCACTAACATCTGCTTCGAATCAAACAAACAAAACAAAACAAAAAAAACTAAACTAAATGTGACCCATCATATTAAAATGAAGATTATGTCAAATTCGGTCAAAATGACCTAATTACATTTTCAGATTCCTGCCTTTAAACGCTATATTTTGATATCTGGATCATTCTGATATCTTAGGTAAATTTATATGACTTCATTTGTCTTGTTGATTACATTAATACATAAATATTTGGTCTGAATCTTAATTTTTTGTCATTTTATTGAGTAATTTTTGRTGTCCTTATAAAGAGGAAACCTCAAATTATATTTGAATATTGACATTTCCCAGCTGAAAAGAAACAAAAACATTGCTAGCTCACAGGGAAAATCTCAAAATTTTAAGGCGTTTTTCCTCAAAATCAGTTTTTTTTTGTTGCTACTGCTCAAAAAAGTGCTTGAGAATTTTGTTTTATGATAATATTTCAGACAGTTCATTCAAATGAAACACTGATGAAGCATTTATTCATTATGTTTTGACAAAATGAAATTTTTGCAAATGTTTCAATCAAAACACTATAGTTGCCTATTTCTCCATATACCACTTTTACACTTAATCCTCGTTTCGATGTGATGGGTCGCAAATTTAGTCATTTTAGCGATCCTGTGGTTCAAAAGTTTTAAGCTAACTACAAAGCTGCTGTTCTGTGTTGTCTTTAATACTCCCTCGGTAATAAATCTGTTAATTAATCCCGTGGTTGCTCACTGACGTCTGCTTCACTTAAAAAAACTGAATCAACTCATTTTAGTGATCCTGTGGTTCATTATCCTTTAAACTAACTACAAAGGTGTTTAGCGTCATCTTTAATATTTCCTTGGTAATTAATCGGTTTGTTGATTAATCCTGTGGTTGCTCACTGATGTCATCAGCTCAATATCATTTTCTGAACCACTGGTTGCTTTTTCACAAGTCTGTCTGCTCAGTTCGGACCCGACTCCGGTAGAATTGGGGGCTCAGAGGGGCATCACAGATGGGCTCACTTTACTCGCCTTTCCACCTTCGTGTTTTTCTGTATGATCTGAGGAGGACAGAACATGCATCGGTCCTGGACTGAGCTGTCTGATGAGTGAGGCTAAAATTTCAATTTTGCTCACACTTATTCGTCAAATACAAATTGTTGATCAATGCAAAAACAGGCATCTAGTTAAAACAAAACTAACTTTCCACTATAGTAGCCTTGCCTCGCTTTCCTAAACAGTTCTGCTCAATTCTAGTTTCCCTTCACTGCTCCGTCTGGGATTTCTCCCATAGACAAGGAATTTGAACCGGGCCAATCAGCGAGCAGGAGGAGTTGTGAATAACGACATCTATTTCCTGTGCCGTTTTGGTCTGCCTGTAGTTTTGCAGTGGCAGCGGAGGAAGTGAATGAAGCCAGTCCGTGTTGACAAGACTTCCAAATTAATTCAGTTTGTCTCACAAAGCCTGCAGCTCTCATTTACATGTACCTTTTTTTCCGAACATTTACTTTGACTAAGGTATATTTCTTTCTCTTTGGTCTGTTTTGTTTACACGTCTGCTGTGTTGCTGCAGTATGGTGTTTAGCAGGGAGGCTGTGGTCCGAATTCTGAAGAGCGGCTGCAAGTGCTACAGCAATGATGCGCCGGATGACATGGTGCTGGGAATGTGCCTCAATGCTCTCAGGCTTCCCATCACGCACAGTCCTCTCTTTCACCAGGTTGGATTCAACATTTGCTGTGCCTTCCTTTTCACTTGTATCCAGACAATAGGAATCATTTGGGCTTTCAAAGAAAAAAAGCGCATTTTACCAAAAAAAAAGCAACTTGCTGAAGTCCTGTATACATTAAAATCACTCTCTTCTTTTCAGCCTAGAGACAAATGTTTTCCTGGAATGGGTTTTGCTGTGAGATAGATTCATGAAGAAAACAATGTGAACCGAGCAGGTTTTATAGATTCATCAGCCAAAGACAAGCAGAGACATCAATCATGTTTGTAGACAACAACCTATCCATCAGGATCTAAATTTCACAGGACTTTCATATCCATGCAGGTTTTTCTACTTTTGCTCTGACTGCATCAAAGTTGTTTGTTTTTTATAATCTTCAAAACAATCGGGTGAATTGAATCGTTTTACTCTTTGTCTGAGAAAATGAAAGTTTTTTTGATGAATTGAAGCAATTCTCTCAACATTTTAAAGCAGACACTTCATCAGACAATGCACAAGGTCAGTCAAAGAAGAAAGCTTTGCACCGTCAAATGAGATTAAAAAACGTTTTTTTAGTACACGGGCAGGCTTGTTTTAAGTGTTTAACTAGCATCATTAGGATTGTAACACCTGGAGTTTTTCTTTTCATTGTCAGATCGTGGTAAGAGGGTTTTTTCAGTGCAGATTGTGTCGCCTGAATGTGGGCAGAAACACTTGTCATTACTGTGACAGAGACACAGGAGAGTTTGACAACAGGTTTGAGTGTGCATAATAACTTGGTTCTACAGAGCTCACATCTCGTGTTTCTCCCCACAAGTGGAGTTATTTATTTATTTATTTATTTATTTATTTATTTTTTGACCTGTCCTTGGGCTCAAGTGTTTTCTTTACGGCACTGATTGGTATCTACTCAGCTTCCTAAGAATCAAATCTGAAGCATCTTTTACCAGAACCAATCAGAATGGCAGAAACAAAAACAGAAAATTTGATTTGAATCAGTCATGACATAAAAAAGATGTTTGACAATTATGGAAGCAAACGTAATACATAGATGTGTGTAAATATTTTGGCTACCTGGTGGGGACAATTTTTGACCATTTCCCGGTACACCACTGTTCCATAAGGGGGAAAAAAAGCCCGACCCCATTGGCAAAAATACCGTTGGTGGGTCAGGGGTTAGCTTTAGGACTAAGGTGTGAACTGAGTTTAGGTTAGGTTTAGGGTCAAGTATTTACCTGTGAGGTTAGGTTTGAGTAAAGGGTCAAGGTTTGGCTGTATAAATGGCCGGTAAATGAATGGAAGCCAGTGCAAAGTCCCCATGAGGATAGAAGAACAAACCTTTTCCCGATCCTCACTTTGTCTGCAGCTCTACTAGTTAGGTTTAGAGGTATAGTATGAATTAAGTTTTGGCTCAGTTTAGGGTTAGGAATAAAGTAGTAAAGGTTAGTGTTAGGGAAAATGTCTGGGTTAGGCATAAATCCAGTTACAATAATGAATGGAAGTCAATAAAAGCAAAAAATGAGGTCACATTTGAAAGCAGTCACCAAGGTTAAGGCTTACATCCACTTTATCTATTATATGTTGAGATTAAAAGGCTAATACAACAGTATTAGGACCATACAAGATCTTTTGTTTATTATGAGAAAAATGTTGCAATATTACGAGAATATATGTCCATTCCCATTCCTTGTCTTTTTTCCCCTCATTTCCTCCTCATTTGCCACACACCTGCTGTGGACAGCCTGTAGTCACAGTGCTTATGAAGTAGTCAGTGGTAAGAATGCTTTTTCCTGTAGGAGTTCTCATAATATAACTACTTTATTTTCATAATTTAAATAGCTTTAATCTTATAATTAAAAACAAAAAGTCTCTTAGTGTGGCCCTTATACTCCATCGTAGACCAGAGAGAGGCCTTTAAAGCTGCAGGCATTTTTGACAGTTTTTAAAAGAAATAAAATCTGAGCAAAGCAACAAAAAGGAATTTAGCTGTTACTGACATCAGTGTTTAAACGTGCTTTTTTTAATAACTTGAAATTCTCAAAGGTTTTTGAGTTTTTTGTCCTGTTAGAAGCAGTATCTACAATGTATAAAAGTGTTTACATTTCTTTGACTGCTGCAGCTCTTTGTTACAGTTTTTAACTTCCTTCCTTTCAGGCCCGCCCCGAGGACTACGCTAAAGACCTTTTAGCCCACCAGGTGCCCATCTCCTTCCATAAACACTGGAACATCGACCCAGTTAGTGTTTTCAACAAATGGCTCAGAGACGACTCGAGGGCGGAGAATTCAGAGGAATCTCATAACAGATCCGAGTTATGATGAGCACACATAAGTCTGTATGAAGCAGTGTATATACAGAGTATGTGTGTGCGTGTGTTTGTGTTTTTGTAACACAAAAAGTGATCTATAAACAGATGTAAAAGTTTTTGTATAGTCACATTTAATTATTATTAAGAGGGACCATGTGTGTGTGTGTGTGTGTGTGTGTGTGTGTGTGTGTGTG